GTTACAACCACTAATGTGATGAAGTAGATGAACCCCACGTGAAGCAGAAGCCAACGAGACCGAGACCAGTACGGAAGAAGATACGTCCCGTAAAATTAAGAGACTTTGTTGAATTGTAATTTTGTGTTTGTAATTCTGTACAGTTAATTAAGTTATTGTTAATTATTATTGGTTTATTGTATGTGGTTATTGTTCGGGACGAACAATACTAAGGATTGGCAGTGTTGCGTCACCGAGTCACATGACTACTGTGATGCAACGTTTCTAGAACTATCATGTACTTTGGCGAATGTTGTAGTTCTTACTAGATATAGGGTAGGCTGGTATATAAAAGAGGGGAATGTAATGTGTGCATAGACAGTGTGTAATTGATCTCGCAATCAGAAGTATTATTGACGTTCGTTGACATAGCGTTTGTTTTAGCGCGATTGTTGAAGTTGAGTGTATCGGTAAAGTTATATTCGGAAAGCGACACAAGTCTTTACTTAATAAAACTGGTTTATTCTTAAGTTTCGTCGGAACGAAGTTACGAAAAATTAATTAACAAACGGAGACGTAACACAGTTTTATCTAAGAAAGGACTTGTGTCGCTAAAGTTTCGTCGGAACGAATTTACGGAAAATTAACTAACCAACAGAGACGTAACAATAGATATTTTGTCAAATCGCCTGTTATTTAATAATCTCAAATCAGTTTGTCGTGGATATGCCACACACTGGATAGAAAGGAGCAATTTTTTTTTTATGCCGTGTTCACAGAAACTGTTGTTGTGGAGTTTCTGCTGAAATGTATTGTTACGACAGCGAAAGTCAAGCACGCTGGTAACACATGATGAGTTTCTAGAAGGATCATGAAGGCTCGAGTGTTTGCCAGACGCCCTCTATTTTGATATATAAGCCCGGCAAATAAAGCGGAGATAATAATAGCAGACAGGGAGATATGTAGACAGATAATTGAGTCAAGTCAATTGCTGGTCTCTGTAACAGGCTGAATAATTCCTTATTTTAAGTCCAGAGGATCCTGCCTCGACTCCATCAAACACTTGAGGGAGGCACTAATTTATGATTGTCATTCACAAATTATACTGACAGTTCAATTCAGCTGAAAATCGAGGAATCCATCAGACCAAGTTAAAGCCTCAAAATAAGGGCACTAAAGATAGTTTAGCCACCTACGTGGATGACCTGCACCATTAGCATAGTATTAACTACCCTGCAATTGATTTGGTGGATTACATGAATAATCTCTTTAATAAGTTTGTGGAAGAGCTGCTCAGCTGAGTGAAGCAGATCTCCTCGCCCTTATCGAGGCAGTTTCTTTAGCAATGTCATACAAAGTAGTGACATTGAACTGATTGAAAGAAAGGAAGAAACCATCACTGGCTTTACCTCGGACAGACCATTCTACCATATACCTACATCATGTCAAGCTCTAGCCCCACAAATGTTTAACAAATCATCTACTCATTGGTGCATTGTGATGCAACCTCACTGGTGCCCAGTGAATGAGTAGGCCATCCCACTCTTCCCATGATTATATGCTGCAACCAATGCTGATGATTGCTTTACCAAGACATCATCCTTGAAGAAAGGATCAGATCATTTTGCTTTGTCTGTACATTGGGTTATTTTCAAGTGAACTGCCCATACCTTTCCTGGCAGCAAAGTAGACAGAGCTATTGGTTTCGACCATCATTCATCTTTATACTGGAATAGTCATTGGCACAGTGAGTCAGGTGGGTCTAAACAATACTAGGGTTTCGACCATCATTCATCTTTATACTGGAATAGTCATTGGCACAGTGAGTCAGGTGGGTCTAAACAATGCTAGGGTTCCATCCATTGTACTGTGTTTGACAGCAAGTTTGTGTTTACCTATACATCTGAGATTTTTAGTTAACAATCAAAACTGAATGCAGCAACTTAGTGAGTTGTTGGCTGAATGTGCCAATGTATTTGTAGGACCACATAGTGGATTGGGTCACAGTGTTACACAGGTATAGGTGAGGAACATATGTTGTGTCGGCTTCCCTGGAACACTAGTAGGGATGTACTGAAGTACAGTAGATGTTAAAGGATATGGGTCCCAAAGCCATCATAAAGTACTTTGTCATCTCCAGTAATGATTGTCAGGAAAAAGAAAGGTATGCACAGATTCTGTATTGATGTTAGTAACTAATGTTGATGTCCTTTCACTACCATAAACAGATGAATATATGGGTGCATTAGAAGAGGCTCTATGGTTCAGTACATTAGACCTGACAGCCAGTTACTGGAAAGTCAAGCTGGATGATGAAAACAGACTTATGACAGATAATGGCTGGAGACGGCTTGAATGGGTAATGAAGAAAACATTAATATAAGTTTAAC